GCGAAATCATGAAGGGAGACAAGCTTGGGAGACAAGGCGGCAGCGGCCGCCAAAAGCGAATTCATGAAGGGAGACAAGTTTGGGAGACAAGGCGGCAGCGGCAGCCAAAAGCGAAATCATGAAGGGAGACAAGCTTCACAGACAAGGCGGCAGCGGCAGCCAAGAGCGAAATCATGACGGGAGACAAGCTTGGGAAACAAGGCGGCAGCGGCAGCGGCAGCCAATTTCCGCAATCAGGAACCCATCCATTGAGAAGTAAGAACCCCTATAGCTTCGCTATCTGGGGAAAAAAAAATAGGTCTTTCAAAACCTGTCTCTCTTGCTTCAGAAACAGCTCTACAACAAGGGAAGACGTGGCCCAAACGCCAAGGTCCCATGGCCCATGGCCGCCCAAACCGGATGGATCGCCGCTTCGGTGCACCGGACTGCGCCAAGGACCAAAGTGCCACAGCTCACCTCGGACGAAAAGGCAAAGATCAAGCAGTTGGGAGCCCCGGTCCAACGAATGAAGTGGAGCCTCCAGAGCCTCCGGTTTCCTGCGTTCTCACCGCCGGATGATCCGTTCGAAGCTCCATGTAGGCCAACAATAATATTTTTGGATGAAGAAACAGAAACACGAAATTAAAAGAATCACAACAAAAAAGGAAGCTTAAGAATAACATCTATAGTTCAAAAGGCTGAAGTTACGAGAGTGACCGACCAAGATATTCAATCACCATCCTTCCAACTCCGAATCTCTCTGGCGAGAATAGGTCATATCCAAGAGCTGGTCCTGAGGTGTTGACCCATTCCCTGTGACAAGCATGTTGGAAGCTACGAAAGGAAGCTCGATCTTGGGTCATCGGTCATCTGGAGTGAACAAGTTATCCTTTGAGGTGCCATCGGTCATCGTTCACCAACTGCTTGTTCCAAGCACCGAACATGTTCCGCAATGGCAATGCAAATCCCTCTAGAGTGAACTGCTAAAGTCGAGCGGCAAATGCAACACCCGGTCTTTGTTGCCCCACCCTTACAGTCTCACGTTCCGCCCTCCAGAAGCCTCCCGAGGCTGGAGAAGCTGATTGAGAGTCGGTCCGATGAGTTGAGCAAGATCATGCAGAAGCATCAGGCGGAGATAAGACAGTCCAGAGCGTTGGGGAATAGTTTTTTGTCATCAACAGAAGAATAATGCACCTGGTAAGTACAATGCCCAAGTTCAGGTCCTCATCAAGACAAATGACTTACCAGGATTCAAAGTGACCTTTTGAGATGCCAGAATGAGGTCACTTAGTACCTAAAGAGGTCACTTAGAGACTCGAAAGAGGTCACTTTTGAGGTCCTGGTTTTGGCATTTGGGTCTAGCCTCGTTCTCCCCGCCTCGTACCGATTCGCTATGCCTGGAACGCGAGGGCGTTTTCTCAGCCGGATGGCACTGAAGCTAGAGAGGTAGCGCATGCGGGTCGCTCGTTGTCCTAGCTCGTTCACCGGTCTCCGGCCGAAGCGAAGGGTGAAAGTGACCGGTCAATGAACCCTTCAGGTCTGTGGAACGTGGAGGATGAATCTGATAGCCTCTCCCCCAGGAAAGTGGACAACCTTTATCCTTTTTGGGGGGGGATGTCGTTTCACATCGCGTCAACTAAATCCAACGCGTGGAAGAACGTTCAAGTTTGATGTCGCAAAGTGGAGTCAGAATTCCGGTCCTCCCTTTGGTCCAGGATACACGGTTTTTCCACGCATGTTTCAGGACCTCACGGACGAATGGGACTGTCTTTGGGGAGTGTCCTATGACCTGTAACGAGAATGGCCTGCAGTCAGGCCCCATCATCATCCTCTGGGCCCAGGGAATGGGATAGACCCAACACATGCCATAACTCCCTACCTTGGGATGTTTTTGGGGGTCAATCCATCGGCTATGTCGGTCCCATGGATGGTTTGGGAGAGGAGCGTAGACTCTATGGACTTTCATGACCATTCATACTCAGCACATGCTACTAGTAACAAGGGCATTACTACTAATATAGTAACAAGGGCATCGCTACTATATAGTAGCAAGAAGCTGATCCATCCCGTGGGGTCGTTTTGCATGCGGAGCCCATCTCAGACGTGGCGTCGAAAACCGCCAGATTGTTTTCCTCACAGGCGGTCGAGGAGGAGGTTAGAGATCTGCATCACCAGCGCCTCGGTTTTTTCGATGAGATGAATGATCATTTGATATGTTGCTAGGGGTGGTTTCAGATCCAGTATATATGTTCGATTGAACCAGTGTATTTTTTAAAGTGAGTTGAAACCACCCACCACGTTGGAGTCAAAAGGAGCGAGTCCGCCTGCAAGTTCGCATGGCCATAAACCGCTCCAGGCAGTGGCCAGGGTTGGTTCGTTTCGTTACGTTGGGCCTCTTGGGAGGATATGGGAAATGCCAATTCCTTGGTGGCTGCATTGGGCTGAAGTCGCATAGGGCTCAGGTGATCCCTTTTCCTCCAGTCCACTGGGTGTTGAATGCACCAATTTGAGGGAGCTTCCAGATCCTTCCTTTGCGAACGACCGTGGACGGCATCGGACGGGCGTCCGTGGCGGGCCACGTCCCGAGTTGTCGCTTTCGGACGCTGGCGCCATGGCCGGACCGGGTCGTTACTCCTGGGATTTTTGTGTCCCGCACCACGAACTGCAACTGCCATTCAAAGACCAGACGTCGTTGAGGTGACTGGTAGCAACAGACACTGGTATTGGTTGCTGAAGAAGGCTCTCCTTTTGGAGAGCCTCTTGGAGGTTGCGCCCTGCACATACGTGATCCACTCACTCATGGACAGAACACTATATACACCTGACACCTTGGGAATTCCTGACAGGCTTCTTTTTTGGCCAGGCTGGAGTCGCTGAGTCACTGTAGAGTTTGCCCGTGACACCAGATCTGGGTTTCCAATCGAATTCCAGTCGTCACGTGTGACCGGGGGTTGCGTCTGAAGGATTTGGCCGCTCCAACTTGAATCAGCAACATGATCCACTAGCAAAACCCCTCAAATGGCTGTTTTAGTGAGCTACTACCATCCAAGGGATTGTCTACTTGTACCAGGTTTTGGCCATAGCTCAGTCGCAGTCCACTCGTCTCAACCCACCAGTTTCCAAGGTCGCAACGTGTTCAGCGTCGACTCCGCCGTTTCAGCGTTTTCCCCAAACTCCGGCATCTCGCCCGCCCCGAAGCTGGCGAGGGTGCGCGGCCCCCCTTCTGAGGATCATGAATTTGGGTGGTGATGAGATGAAGCAAGCAAAGGCCAAACTGGAAGCCGCTCGGTCAGAGGTCACGAGCTCATTCGAACACTTCGGAGACAGCGGGCTGACGTCCGGCGTCCGGAGGCCCCAGGCCTTTTAGGCCGGGCTGACAACTGAAAAAAGAGGAGATGGTGGAGAATTAATGAAGAATGCCTATAGCACTTCCAATGGGTACCCAATGGAGACCTGTAAGTAGGGTAGGGTAGTCTATTGGACACCCATTAGATGATCCTGGTGTGAGTGTGTGTGTGTGTGTGTCCCCCTCCGTTTCCAGGAGTTTCCTTTTTCACTCTTTCTCTTTTATGCAGGGGCGTGTGACACTCTTATCCTATCACACGCAACGAAGCTGTGGATAAGAGTGGGAAGGGAAACTTGGCCAGTTTCCTGTACCTGCGATTTGAACTGTACCACTCCGCTGTCCTTTGTTTTGCATGGTGGTTTTCCACGATATTCCCCAAAACAGGTTTTTCCTTCAGCCGCTTTCCGCTGACGCTTGCTGCAGACACGTGCAAACAATGTGCTCAACTATTCAAGTGAGCGCTGACTCCATCACCTTGCGTTTCCCTCATCCATTTTGCTGTGGATCATGATTGACTGCAAACCCTGTGACTAAGTGTGTGTGTGTGTGTAACATGGCCTCCAAAACCATGTGGTAAGTTGATGTTGTTTACATTTCATGAACGCCGGAAAGGCTACGCATAGCTTTTTGTTTTCTCATGAATTGCACGTTGTCTCAAAGCGTTCGGTCCGAGGAGTGCACGAAGAAATGCGAAGACTTGCGCCGGCAGTGCAAGAAAGCTTTACTGGATGCGGACAGCATGGTGCCTTGCCGGAACTTGGACCAGAGAGAGAGAGAGATAAACAAAAGTAAAGCGACCAAAAAAATAACACAATAAAAGAAAAGCACATTTTTAAAAAAACTAAGCAGATTATCCACATTCACCTGACTGAGTGGCATCATCAGCCATTTAAATTGAAATAGGAGAAACCCCAATTTCTCTCGCCCCTGTCGCAGCAGAATCGAACGAACCATCGATTCTCCGAACCAAAAGGACTGTCTTGGGGGGAAGACGCAGGGCCGCAGGGTGTCGGTCCGCGTGATTTGAGCTACACACCGAATGGAATTCTGGAATTTCATTTCGCAAAGAGTGGGAACTTCCAGGTCATGTCCATCCTTGGGGGCGCCGAAAGACATCGATCCCTGACCACAGCGCTCTTTGGGGGCGACCAAGCTGGAGAGAGGTGTTGACGAGTGTGGAGGGTCCATTTGGTTGGATGTTGGTGCATCACTGGAAAAAAATAAAGACACACATACATGTCCCAGAATGGCCTGGATCAAACGTGCATTCATGTTATAGTTATGTTGCAACTTTTCAGCCTGTGGAACCAACTGTGACAGTTGGTAGAGGTTGTGAGGCAGAAACTTGTGCTTGAACACACTAAGGTCAAAAACTCGAAGAAGGCCAGGTCGCTCCGGTACGGACGGGCCACGTCCGCTGGAAAACCCCTCTCCTCGTCTCCGCTCGTTCGCCTCATGCAGTGGAACCCTTGTTGGGTGCCGGGAGCAGATGGCTTCAGCCGACATGCAGTTTTTTGGGACCGAAAGAACGCCTGAACCGAAAGTTTGCATCCAGGGAGTGTTAAAAACTGAATGCATTTGGCTTCAAGTGAAGATCCATCCAATGGGATATCTCACACCCCAGACGTGCCAAACTAAGCACCACTGTCAAAAGCAGTTTTTTTTGTCTGTTGGACAAACATTGATGCAAACCGCTGGATGGTCATCCAGCAGCCGAGATAGGCTTTTACTTGAATCAGATATACCTGTTGGATTGTTGGTACTTGTACTTGAAAGTCAGGAGTCAGGAGTTATACTTAATAAGTTATAATACTGGACTCCTTTTCGATCCTGTTTGCTTATGTTCTGCTGGTTTCTTTGTGTGCTTTATTTCAGGAGTTATACTCCTCCTTGACTCGGTTATATATATTCTGTTGGCTTTTGTGTGTGTCTTGGGGGCTTCTAGATATGCTACAACCCACCCCGGGTGCTTCATGGACGCCTCTCCACCGAGCGACACGTCACCGGTTCTGCTCGGCCGGGCCGGGCCGCCGGGCCGTGCTGCACAGGCCGAAGCCAATGCCAAGACGGCCAAGGAAGAGCACAAGGCGGAGAAGGGGAGGTCATGTTGTGTTGCACGTCAGAGTGTCCAGGTGTTTGGTTGGGAAATGGACACGGGTGGGGGAACAACAGCGAATGTGAACGCATAGGCAAATGACATAAAATGACTCCAAACCACCAAGCTGACAGGACAGGAACACTTTTTTGGACATCTCAGTGGTTAGGCATTAGGAATTCGCAAGTTTGAGACACCCAGAATCATCCAGCTGCATTTGCTTTGACAGCGACCGTTCCATCCCGACTGGTCGTACGGTCGACCCGAGCTCCGGTGATTTGCGGTCTGATCGGCGGCGATGTGCGTCGTTTGTGTGCGCCTCAAGTCTTAGACTGCTACCCTACACACCACCTGCACAATAGACCTGCAGGATCTCCACCTGTTTGAGGGGGCCCCCCTTACACGAAAAAAACAACATGACAACCCATCGGCTCCAGTCGGTGTATCAACTCCTGGATTGCGCTGCTTGTGCCCCAGATCTGTGCTCAGGTGGCGGAAAAGACCTTGAAGTGACTGGGACCATGCAGAGGAAGGCAGTCAAATTCTGCGGTGTCAAGGTGCTTTTGTCCAGTTGGATAGGTTGCATCTAGGCAGTCTAGGCTTGGATTCATCATCGAATGGTTTCAGCTGGCCCGGAATGTTGGAATGAATGATACACCCCCAAACTCACCTTACGAATTAGAGGTGAGTCAACAATCCGTTCCTTATTTGGAAGGTTGATTTCGATTTCCATCAGGGCTATCGAAAGAAACAATTTGCGTCAACTGATCCACATACCCTGTGAGAGGGTGATGTGTAAACAACACTTTGATGTACAGTACGCGAGTTGTGAGGGTAAAACATGTCATACCTTCGAAACTCGAAGGCAGAACCATACTTGTTTTGGATCCCTAGGTCCACCATCTTCCACCCATTCAATCGGCTGGGACTATCTACCTTTTAAACCCAACAGATATGAATTGATCATGTTTGATGGCTCCATTTGACCCGAAGACATTGTGTTCCCGTGGAAAACACCTTGTGTGTCTGTGTCACCTTGTTTGTGTTTTCCAAAACACACAGTTTTTGAAACCGCATGAAGACTTGTGTAAAACTCAAAAAGACCATAAAAAGCCCGCAGAGACCCGTAGACAATCATATTGTCTTCAGGCAGTCAACAAAAAAACTGCAAGAACTCGTGTATTTTCAGGGTCAGGGTATGACGTTTTTGCTGGTTCTGCTGGGTTCTCTTGGTATTGTCCACCTTTGTAGCTGAGAGTCAGATCATGGCGCACAGGGGCTGGGTCCAAGTTTGATGCACAACAGTTGATTGAGGAAGCTGAAGGAGGAACACTCGAAGCTGGATGACAAGGCGGAGGTGGTGTTGAACGAGTACAACAAGCTGTAGCTGGGCGAGCGATAGGCTAATAGGGCGACAGGGGGGGAAACAAAACAGGCAGCAGGCGGCGACAGGGTGAAGCAACCAGCGTCAGCGGGTGCGAAGGGAGCAAAGGAAGAACAGGAGCTGCTTAATTACATCATACCCTAGGGGTCCACAGACCTTCTCAGATGATAATTGGACCGACCGTCACTTTGCCTACACAAAAAATGCGTCTCCAATCACCCTGTCAGAGGGTAGGTGGATCCATGTTGATAGCCAAGTTAAATGGAGTTTGCTAAAGGGGAAAGGCTTGCAGTTCCAGGTAATTAAGTTGAAGTAACAGACCCTCCCAGCACGGAATCACACCAGTCCCCGTTGCCCCTGTCCAGAATTTGGGCCTTTCCAGTGTGATGTTTGACTCATCTCCCATATGAAATATGGACGAATCCAGCGACAACTCGACAAAGAAACTGGAGATATCATGAGATGTTCCATTTCCCAAGCAAAGAAAACACGCCAGAGAGTGTTGAGTCGTGAGGGGGAGACCCATGGGAGACCTTCCAGGCAACGACACGATCCCCCTAGAAGAAGGAAAATAGACCAGTCTACCCAGCCAAGGCCAGGGGGTCTACCCAGCCAGGGCCAGGGGGTCTCCCTATTGCAATCATATGCATCCATGTATAAGCCTGACGATGTCTGAAATACCTATAGATACCAGTTACTATCTAATGGTGATTTGGGAAGGATCTCTTTCTGGACTCTCCCTGGATCCGGTCCTGTTGACCTTTGTGTTTGGATTTCTGAAAGAAGTCCTGCACCACCTGGAGCCACAAAGCTTTAAATGTCAATGCTGCGGCTTTCTACCAGGGCTTTGGCCTGCTTTTGGGGTGTCTTTTTTGCTCCTTAGAGGTGATTTGGGGTTTTGGTGAACCACCCCAAACAGGCGGTCCTGGTACGGTTTCCTTTATCTCACGTGGTGTTGGGTGCATTTGGCACTCCATGTGCACCAGATTCTTTCCTTTCTCAGGAAGGATACCCTCACCGAGAAGGATGTGGTGCTCACCCAGCTGCGGGAGAAGCGGGATGAGGTCCGGAGGATGGGAGAGCGGATCAGTTGAAGGAGCTGCACTACAACCCAGTGGATTCCAGTTATACCACTATCCTATATATGGCACCCATATGGCACCCTTTGGGTCAGGGGATCCAAGTTACAGACTACAATCCACTGCACTGTAAAATAAGGAGCCAGGGTTTCTAGGTCTATGGATGGTGTGGCCTTTGGAACCACTGGTTAGCAGCTATGGTTGGTGACTATCCACTGAGTATAGTGACCCTCGTTCGCACCACCCCGTTCGGGTGGTGACCATGTCCAGTGTCCCATCATGTCCCATAACTGCCGAACTGAGTGGATCCGGAGACCCAGCGGACCGTGACGCGCAAGCTGCATAGCGGCATAGCTGGTGCTCATCACGATCTTCCGTGACCGGTCCCGATCGATCCCCCCGGTGCGAACCGGAAGAAACGGCCGAAGCGGCCTGCTTCCGTTCGGTCGGCCTCTTTGGGCTGTTGGTGGGTTGATTGAAAGAGGGCCTATACATTCATGGCCTCGCCCGGAGTCCTTGACCGGCCCTTCCTCGCGCGTTTCGAGGTCATCAAGAAGGCCAGTGCACTGAAAAGCCAAGAGGTGGACCTGGTCAACGAGATGGAGGCCGTCGAAGAACGAACGTAGCGAAAAAAAAAAAAGGCTCCAGTGATGATCACGTTCTTGAGTAGTTTTGTCACCCGGCACGTGCGAACCGTTTTGTGCGCCCCTGCATAGACGTGCTTGTCCCTTTTTTATGAGTTTGGGATTGGGGAATGAGATCCATTTGGATCAGGTTCAATGCGAAATCATACGGCAGTTGTAGGTAAACTCTCGCTGTCTGTCGACGTTTCACTAAGTCCCGCTGCAGACCACCCCCTCCCATCACGTCGTCTTCCAGGTGAAGACTCGTACCCTGCGAGAGCTCCATGGCCGGATCGCGGGGTGGACCAACAAATTGCAGGAGCGATCATGAGGATCTGAGTTGACTAGGGGAAAGTCCACAGGGAAAGCCAAAGAGTACCCTCCCCCCCAACCATCATGGAAGTGGACCACCGATTCCTCGAGTGCCGCTTTGCTTTCGATTGCTTTGCCAGTGTGATGCAAGCAATGAGGAGATGGGCTACGTATGGCTAAGTGGAAAACCCACAGTCTCATTAGAGTATAGTTGGTCCAAGTTCAATTGGCTAGTCGCATGGCCATGCTTTGAAGCTAACAGTAACTTCAGTATTAAGTCAGGTCCCCAAATATCAAAAGACATGATGTCCAATACTTAGAAGCTCGGGATCACTGCAAAGCTTCTCGTATTATATATATGTTATACCATGTTAGATATACCACTGTTTTTATAGGAAACAACCATATATTTGGATGGTTTGTGATCCAAAATAGAGGTCACTCAGGTAAATCATCCAACTGTTGATCGTCTCTCGAACATCACCATGACCTCTTTACCCCACCAATTTGGACAGCCTCCGACCTCGCAGGAGGCCCGAAAGGACTACGCGCAATTGCCCTTGGACTTCTTGAAAGAGCTGCGCGAAGCCGACTCCGAACGTGTCTCCAAGATGGAGGAGATCGAACTTCGGATCCCGATGGGTTCGGCCAACCTGGGCTCCTTCCTATTGGCCCAATGTCTTCTGTATATAGGGGTTGTTGGTGCAAATGCCCGGATCTCCACGTTCAGTTCAGGCTTCCTACGATCCATCGGATCTGTTCTCTAAATCCGGAGGAGATGGCCCGGAAGGCCATTTCTGCGGAGCTCACGGAGAAGGAGCTCAATAAGGCGGAGCTGAGTTGCTTCAGGGAGGTCTATATTCTGTATATATCTTGGGTTTACCTGTAACAGTCATTAATCAAGGCCTGTTTGAACAAGGCCTTTACTATGTTTGAACAAGGCCTGCAACCTAACCATCATCATGCACCATTAATTACTGTACTGGTAGTAGGATAGACCCAATGTATATCCATGTTAAACATAGAACAAAGTCGAACAATGACACTTGTGGGTCCGCAATTCCTAGAAGTTAAAGGTAGATGACCCGCCTCAGGCCTAACGGAATATTCCCCTCTGTAAGCCCCATGGCGACCCCAGTGAATTGGACATTTTTCAGGGGGGGGTCAAGGCGGCCTTGCTGTGGGTATGCGCGGTATGGGGACCCTGTACCCCAAATGTCTGTGGGAAACCACCGGTCAAAAGCGTCCATCATGGTCCTTCGCCTGTGCTTGATACCCTTCTAGTTTGAAGGAAAACATGGAGTCTAGTTTCAGAGAGAGCGGATCTTCTCAGGCTATCTGAATTGATTTTTTACATGTGTGATTTGTGTTTCTCTTTAGTGTGCTCCAGCAAAACATGTGCCAACCACAAAACTTATTGGCCACAGCCAATACAGAGTCATATCGTTTGTACATGGCCTCATCTTGATGATTCTCATACAATCTGTGCCTGGTGTAATTGCCATTACTATCCATTACCTACTATCTGTGAAACAGTGTACCTGTGCAAGACACTCTGATCTGTGTACAAGAATGACCCCCAGAGAAACATACAACACCAGTTCAATTGCAGACAGACACTGGGATGAGGATACTGATGCTTCCAGCCCATTCCAATCTAGTAATTTTCATCGGGAGTCTGATGCTTCCTATCCTGGCCCACTCACTGAACAGAGTACATACCACTTGGAGGTTCTTTGTGTTTAACACTGCTCAAGTGGTCCTCAGCAGGTCCTCCATCGATGTCCTCCATCAATCTATCCACCCGTATGTGTTCGCATGGTCAGTCCATCAGACACCGACGTGCCGTGGAAGCCCTGCGAGGTCTCAGTGGAAGAGGTAGATGCCCGGATGACCAGCTTGGAGGGAGACATCAAGAACTTAAAGCCCAACCTCGGTGCTATTGAGGCGCGGAGGGTTTGGGAATCACGAAGTGACGGAGTGAAAATCTAGACAGCTGGTCGGCAGCGACCAAGTGGATTTGCCCAAGCTGGCAGTCAGCTTATTGCCCCATGAACTGTTGCTTGCAATCACATGTTCAAACACCAAGCAGGTGCTTCGTTGGTCCCAGCAGGCAATCTTGGCATGTTGAAGCAAGCATTGTATGCTGATCAATATCTTTTTATTGCATGCTATTGCATGCATGTATACGGAGTGGTTTCAGCTCTTGTCAGAATTGGCACAAGCACCGTCCGCAGGAGTTCCGCCGCGCCGATGGGGAGCATCGTACGCGTCTGGCGGAGTATGAACAAGTGCACAATGACCGCGAGGACTGGAATGGTAAACACAGAAAACAATCGGTCACCACATGTTTGTCTTACATTGCTCATTTTTTTTGTTTCGGTCAGTGACATGCAATTAAGCTGTTCATGATGTTTAGCATGCATCATATGCATCGCATGGAGACGATAAGTGCGTTATGGCATTCATATTGCTTCTAGAAGATCCACGTGACAAACATGATGGTCTCATGCTGGCGCAGACGATGAACAGCTAGATCATGGATGGGACCCGGACACACGGAACTTCGGCGTGGGCTCTGTCTAGACACCCGAGGCCCAGACACCCAGGCACGGGTGTCATAGACACCCAGGCACGGGGGGACTCTGGAATTCATTCACCACACTCCCTGAAATTATCATCATTTCGTTTTGAGTGCACCAGTAGGGGCCATGGTCTTCAACAGTCATCCACCTTCTACCGTGAAACATCTCAGGGAGTTGGCTGTGTATTAGATAAAGAGACCTCCCGGTTCTTTGTCTCTTTCCAGAAGGAAATGAGCAGTCTAGCCAGCAGTCTCTCTGGACATGTGTATGGATGGCCCAGCGGGGTTCATGGTCCGGTCAAGACGATCTGTTTCATGGAGAGACCACGGAGCACCACTACGGATTTGTTTTTGTTCCATGTGTTTTGGCCCAACCTGCCAGGAGGCTCGTAGGAAGCTGGAACAACTTCGGCAGCAGAGAATGAAAGAGTTCCTTGTCTTGGCAGAAGAAGGACGTTGTGCGAAGCACTCCAAGCTCGACCCGCCTGGAAAGTGGATGTGGTTGACCTGATGTTGTAGAAGTTATATAACTCCTTTGTAAACTCATGACATGTTTGGGATTTTGCACCATGAAATGAACATATTTGTTTTGCTGGAATCCTACCTTGGGCTTCAGATGGTGGGGAATTTGCATGGGTGGCATGAGACAACGTGAGTGAGGGAATATGACTGCAGGGGGTCATGCTTGTTGACCGATGTGGAAACCTATTTAGATATGGACATTGGGAGCCTGGTTGGTAGCGTGGTGCCAGTGTCTTTCCTGTCAAAAACAATAATCCACTTGTGCCTGTACTATATCATATTTATCCATTTAAGAACCATAAGAAGATGCTAGACATTGAGAAGATATATGAAGGATATGATATGATTAAGAACCAGAAGGATTGCTATACATGAAGGACATGGTTGCTTTCCATTCAGAAGCATCAGACATGGAAGGCTTCATACTGGCAATGGATTGATCACCGGTGACATCAAAGCATCAGGTTCATGGAAGGCTTCAGCGTCATCTCCATGAAGCTCAAGGACCCAACAGCGCCGGTCCGGGCGTGGGCGTCATCTCCACGGTGCCTGGGCACGTGGCCAGCGAACAGCGTGAAGCTGCACCCATTTGCTAGTCATGCTGTGCTATTCCATCAAAGACCAGCAGGATCTACCGTCAACTGCTTCAGACACGACCTGCCGTATGACCGACTGGATAGCAAATATGTCATTCAGTGGTGAGTGAGCCAAGCCATAGTCAGGTGCTCTTTGGCATTGAACATCCTTTAGTCATTTTAGTAATAAGTAACCTTAGCTTTACTTGATTATTTTCACCAGCTACACTCCCTGAAAAAGGCATGGAATTGGACCATGCCCAAAAATGAATGGCATTTTGTTCCGCTGCACATGTGTAGTGCTCCACCATGAGAAATCAGGGAGCGTAACATCTACAGCATGGAGACACACGAAAACGCCACTCTTCTGGTGAAGCCTTTGCTGTTGGCCTTCGAGCGAAGCCACCGACGCGACCTCGCGACATCCCAACGGAGGCTGAAGAACCCGAACGTTCGACTATCCCAGCATAGGTACCCCAGGTGACGGGTCCGAACGTTCAGGTCATTGAACCTCTCTTGGTCGACCAAGTGAATCTGGAATGTGGGCACTTCTTCAGCTCCTCATCCTTCGACGTCCGAAAACGACGCCGAAGTGACGAAAACGACCGTCGATCCGCACAAAATGGGAAGTGGACACATGGATCTAGGCAATATAAAACGACGTCACCGACGTCACCTGAAATTAACGAGCAAGCTGAAATTAAGGTATATGGTCATACTAACATCACACACACACGCAAAACACACACACACTTCATCGACTTCACAGTCCTGGCAGAGATTTTGGAGGCGCGGGCGGGCGTGGGCACTGGATCTAGGACTGGATTTGCATGGGGAAGAGGATGTCAGTCAGTTGGAGTTTTGCTTGAGTTTTCGGGCTCGAGTTTGCAAAAAAATAAGAAGTCATGCCTCACCTGCTCACTCTCCACACCACTAAAAAACACTGCCCAATTTCGAGGTCGGGAAGTTTTGAAGTTCTTTAAGTTGTGCCCCCCATGAAGCGGCCCTCCAGCCATGATGAGTGCCCAACAACACCTACGGACCGCGTTCGGCCAAGCGTGTTCCCTAGCCCCAAAGCCTCTCAGAGACGGGCCATTCAGCCAGATCTTGTGGACCGAAAAGATCCTTGGAACTTGAAGTAGTGATGGTTTGGTTGTTTTCCCTTTCACACCCAACCTGACTGGTTCTTTCCTGGCCAAATCGTTTTTGGGCCTAGTTCGCCGAACTAGGATTTGAGGCCTGGCGGCCTTGAAAG